CTTTTATAGTTATAGTTATTCGTGACCTTTATCTTCAGTAACTTGCTGATCATGGTGATATATTTATGAAGACAAAATCTTCAATATATTCCCTAAATAATTTTTATCTATACATAACATTGAGGGTGAATAATTATTATAATGAGACTTTGAATAGTAATAATTCTGAAACTCGTACCCAACATTAATCATGGCAGTTAAGTTTTAGGGTGTTTGTAGCACTACAAATGTTTTTCGAATGCTATGGCTCATACATTTTTTTTTTTGAAACAGACAGGGGAACTTACTTAAAGCAGTGTTTGTCTAATTGAGGATTGTTGATATTTATCTGCGGAACACTGGTGAAAGTTTGCGAATTCTACAGTTACAATAAACCACTTACTAAGGGCTTTATGTTGACCTTAATCTCCACAACAAGCTGGGAAATAGATGCTATTGTGGCTTTTTTAAGAGGAGATGAGATGATAGAGAGAGAGGTTAAACAGCTTGCCCAGATCACATCTAGAACTTTGTAGGGCTGGGGTTTGTACCAGAAAACTGCCTTTAGAATATATAATCTCCCCAATTCTTCATTTGCTATACTATGCAGCCTAAACAAACTGAAAAGCTCAAAAAGTGAGCAAATTATAAACAACTTTATGATTTAGTTAATGTTAAATATACTTTTTTAAAAAAATCAATCAATTTCATTATGCCCAGAAATTTATATAGATAGTTAATAATATTTTTCTGCAAAAGTATGTTTTATAAATCTGTGTTACCTATGTTTGTTAATTTTTGTGTGCCCAAATTTAAATCAATAGGTTTTAGAATCCTAGTAGAAAGAAATCAAATCCTTCTATCTCTTGCTCGTTAGCTAGATCACTTGGACCAAGTGACATGACCTCAGGTAACCTAGGCTTTCTCATATTTATTGTTGAAGAAAAATGGGGCATGGTTCACATAGTTAGGTTGCCCCACAGATGTAGAAGTGTTTTATTTAGCACCCACTGTGTCCGAAGTGTGTTGAGCTCGTAAGAGTTGTGGTGTGGATGGTCTCATCATGCTCTTTCCAGAGTTGGCCAGCTTGCATCATGACAAAATCCTCAAGGCAGAGAACAAGGTTTCTTCTCCGGCCAGTGTTGTGTCCTCTTGTAGTGAACAAACTTCTCATCTTCCACTTCCAAGGACTTCAGACAGCTCACTTTTGTCACTATTACTTCTAATAATTGTCTGTCACCTTAGTTGCACCCTGCTCATTCAAAGAATAATATTATTTTGAAAGAACTTAACAGAAATTTTGACTCTAATGAGTTCTTCAAGTCAGAAAAAATCTCATCTTAATGACTGTATTGTAAAACACCTTTTATAAGCAATGCGAAGACAATTCAACACTAACTCTGGGTGTGTAAGCGTGATTAAGGTGGGAGCATACCTAGTGACAACAGTGCCTCGGAGTGAGAAAGAAACCATACAAATGTATTTTGATAATTTAGTAATAGCCTATGCTTCTGTTATTAATAGTACTACTTTGGTTGAGAAGACAGGGTGGAAAAAATTATAGAAATTGTCAGTTGGTTTTCTGAATGAAGTTCTCAATATTTTGATTGTTTTTCTTCACAAGTAGTAGTAAGATTCAAGATACTCCGCTATCTGGTGAAGTTTTTAATGGAGAATGTTAAAGAACTTTTAGAACCCTTGAACATGTGTCAATTTTAAAAGTGTCTAAGGGGTTAAAAGCATATCTCAGCAGTATACTGCTCTAATGAAAAACTACAGGCCAATTGCCAGGACCTATATAGGGCAGTTCACAACCAACTATAACTCTAGCTCTAGGAAATCTGTTACCCCCTTCTGATGTCCATGGGCAGCTGCACTTGTGTGCACATACCCATGTACATATCATAATTAAAAATAAAATTAATCTTTAAAATTAAAGACACTTAGTCTATCTGACTGCTATAACAAAATATTACAAATCAAGTGATTTATGTATAATGGAATTTGTGCTATTCAAGGCTGGTAAACAAATTTGGTCCCACCAACCTGCTTCCTAATCCTAACCATAGTCACCATGATTGCACTCAGGGAAGAGAAGAGATCTCTCTGGGGTCTCCATTATAGAGTGCTTAGTTTCCCAAAGGATCCTTCCTTACCACCTAATCATCACTGAGGCCATCTTAGTACCGTAACTTTCAGAGTTTAGAGTTTCAACATATGAATTAGGAAGGACCAAAAACATTCACACAATTGCTAATTTTAATGTGTTGTTCGTTGCTAAGTGTGTGTGTGTGTGTGTGTGTGTGTGTGTATCTCCTTTTCTGGCTTCTACAGCACTGCATGCATTTGGAGCACAAATATACTTGCTGGCAAAAATCTTACACATTTAGAAACTAAATAAACATAAAAAGTCCTATAAGAAATATAAAATCTATTTCCATTTGCACATTAATTGAAAGAATTGTCATATATGTAAAAGAACCAAAAATCACTCTTCATTTCCATGATTCTATTTCCAATGATGAACCTCTTAGTCTGTATCTATGCCTTGAAATTACCCTCTCCTTGGTAATCCTTCAGCCTCATTCAGTAGATGAAACAGTCACTTAGATAGGTAGGATCCAGAGAAATGATAAAAGCAGAGGGAAGTAATAGAATATGGTAGGATCTGGAATAACTGGAGGTCAGGTATCCTTAGCAAGGCATAATTGTTGTTCAGATACAAAGAATAACCCTCACTTATGTGGAACTAAGAAAGCAAAGGGAAATGGGAAAAACTTAGGGGCTATCAATTCACGTCTGCCATTTTCAGCCTTGTCAATGCTTGCATATTATGGCAATGGTTCCTGCCTTGGGCTCCATCTGTATACAGTCCAAATCCATTTTATGTATTGGCACCAGAATGCTATTTCCAGGAGTGCAGTAAAATTTGGACAAGCATCCCCTTTACAAGATGACTTCCTTTTCATGGCGGTATAGGTGTGTGCTTCTTGGATCTCTTCTTACTGTTAGGCTCACTGCTCACCACTTCCTGCCCCATGTGTCATTCTTTAGACATACAGAATGGCATGCCTTTGGCCAGGTGCACATGTTAATTAGTTTTAATTACTTGTTCTATTTGCTCACGGTCTTTCTCTCCAAGCCTTAGCCTGCTTGGGAACCTCTCTCAGTTTTCTTCCCTCATGTCTACTTGCCAGACTGTTCCTCAGGATGTAGCTTCTCTTCAGAGCCCTTCATGTTTCTTCACATATGCGTCCATTACTATTTATTTCCCCCACTTTAGTAAATCATCTTCTCATCTTTTATTGTATGGAACTTATTTGATTCTTTTTTCACCTCCCCAGCATCTAGCACAGCGTGCAGAACATAATGTGTGCTGTCTGAACATGTAGACCTACTCATCAGTATACTGAAAAAATGCTTCCTATGTCCTGATCTGTGGGGAGGAATAAAGAAAAGGATTTTTTATGAACATTCTTTAAAAGGATGGAATTATTTGGAAGGCTGAGAAAACATGTCAATAAGCTTATATAATTCTGATCCTTTAAGACCCGAAAGAGCCGCTTGTTCTCAGATTTACCTTATTTTTGGAATATCCCACCTTATGTCCTAAAACAGTACCATTTAGGAAAGAGGGCAAAAATCCCATAAATACTATTTGTGAGTTGATTTCAGAAAGCATGAGTAAATGCAGTGTCACCTAGCTGTTGACTGATTGGCCCATATCAGACGGTATCTCCACCAGTTGTATTTGATGGGCATTTCAGTGGAGGCTGACTCCCAGAGCTGTGTGAAGCAATCTCCTCTTTACACTACACTGGGTCTATAGTTCATAACGTTTTGACCTATATGATTTATGTGTCTGTTTTCCACAGCTTTGTTTTGATATCAGAAACCATTAATCCTTCAAAGCTGTGCAGGTGTAATGCTAACTGCCAACAGCAATGATTTGTAATTGGAATGAGAATGTGCTTCAGTCCTTTTATTATAATTCTGATATGGTTTTGAATGACCATATTTTACAGCTGAAAAAAATCAAATATACAATTCGTTCACATTCCGCAGTAAAACCACATGTTCACTCTTACCTAATCCAGGCCCAAGTTTTCTTTCTTTGGCTTTATGTAAATTTGGTACGTATGTAAGTTGTAATAACACTTATGTACCTGCTTTCTGAAATATAACAATAACCAAGCTATTATTTGTGTGGATCAACATTCTTATAAATTTATATTATATATATAAACATTTTTGTATGCTTAAAAATTAATAAGCTTTTTTTCCACCAACCCACCTCATGAACAATCAGCAATAAATTTTATTTTTAATTTCCCTGCATGGTTTTATGAAGAGAACATATTAAAGGCTAATTTGTAGGTCATTATAAACTATGTCCTCTCACTTGTGAGTTCCTATGATGACAACTAATGTCATAGGGGCCTTTTATTTAAAATTGGACTCTCATGAACCCCTAGGGTATCCTTTATTCTGTGCATAATGAGTAAAAATAATACAATTCTTCATCCTTGAGAGAATCTATGCAAATGATTTTGGTGCCATCAACCCTTGAGTGAAGGATTTTTAGTTATGAATACCTATGTTTGTTTGGAGTGACTGTGTAGGATGAAGATGACACTAAGTAAAAAATACAGAGAAGAAAATGATGAGGGGTCTGTTGGTCAGTTCAAGTCTATGTTTGCATATCGATTAAAACACCTGCACACCTCTAATGAAAATGTTTGCAAAAGGATATCAGGTTCCTGAGAGAAGCAGGCATACATTTAACTCATTTTCAAATCATTCATTCTTCTTTAGAGAAACTATGGAGCAAAAGCCCAAAGCTTATCTGTGGTTTGCCTCCTTCTCACAACAGATTTTTACTATTTCTTAAAATTTTTAAATTTAATTTTAAAATTTCCAGGATTCTGCCTTCACTTTGAGAAATGAAGTAACCCAGTTTACAACACGAAGAACATCAGATGCTATGTGACTCCCTTTGTGGAATTTGATTTATTTTTCAGGGAATGATGTACCTGGAAGAAAGACGGCTTGTTCATCGGGATCTGGCAGCCCGTAACGTCTTAGTAAAATCCCCAAATCATGTGAAAATCACAGACTTTGGACTAGCCCGACTTCTGGAAGGAGATGAAAAGGAATACAATGCTGATGGTGGCAAGGTAGGTATAGTGGAGCGGAAGGTAACTCTGTATCTCTAATAATGACAACTATGTGATAATCCCTAAAGACTCAGGATATGAACCTTTAACACAGGGCCGTAAAGACTGTCCCATTGATCCTGAGACTACAGATCTATTCTGGGATGACAGCTTATGTACTGAGAAGCTTAGGTAACAATCATGATTCATTTGAAAATCGGCCATTCTCCCTTCTATTCTCCCTAGAATCAAAAATCATACCTTGCAATTACCAAGTAGAGTTGCTTTGATTTTACTTATTCCATAGTGAATGATTTACCTGTGTTGCTTATCACTTGCCTGTACAACAGAATACACAGTAAGCTACTAAAATTGAAGGTGATCCCAGTTACATCTTCAGCTACTTTTTGCAACCCTTTGTCTGACAACTGTGTTTCTGGATGCTACCCTCATCATATAGTTTCTCCCATATCTTAGTTGGAAGTCTGTCTTTAACTGATTAATCCTCAATCTTGGCTAATTAATTAGGGAAAGTAGTATGTGACCTGAAGAAATCTACATCAGAGCATGTCAATGATACGAACAATATGAATCTTAATCTCTAGTGACCCGTGAAGCTATGAAAAAGAAAGATTATTTGCATATATGAGTCTGTTAATTATATACCTTACTTTTCTATGACAAATAAATATTTGCAATAATAGGCTTATAAGGACTTAGCATTCATTCACCCTAGACCTTTACATAATTGTCTATATTCAAATCCTACTACTACAAAGTAAAATAAGACAATTTTATAAAATATGAAAATTTCAGTTTTGAGAAATTATCTGACCTTTCCCTGATCTTATCAGTCTATTTTGTCTGTTTACTACCACACTACAGTGGCTTAAAATCACAGCTCTGAAATTCTCGACAAGATTTCTCAGAAATAGCAGTCTATAAATCATATTACTTCGCCTGTCTTAAGAACATACAATGTTAAGGATTGTCCAAAGCAAGATTCATTATAGCTTTAAATGCCTGGTCACCATTAAGTCTTTATCCAGCCACCTATGATTTAAACTTACTTCTATAACACGGCGTCCATAGTCCATAAAGCCTGCTAACTCCTTGCCCACAGGGAAATTACTTTCAATGTGTCTTCTGTTCCTTTTCACTGAATCCCATGATTCTGTCATAGAGTTACCTTGGTGTCACCTTGGTGAGCAGCCAACCTCATGATTTCAAATGCCTATTTAGTTTTAAGCTTTCAACTGCAAAGTAGAAATGTTTATCTTTATTCCATAGAATCTAATTATATCCCAAGCTCCATAATGCTGCCCTTTGAGTTGGAACACATTCTGCTGACCCATCATAGACAGGGTATGAGGGCTGAGTTGTTTTCCTTGTAGTGATAAAGGATTTGTGCTGATCCTCTTGCATTCTTTTTTATTCCTAGCTCCTATTTTGAAAACGCACATATTTTCAATTCTGGCTAGCCCAGGCAAAGGAGATCATTTGTGACTGGGGAACAAAGCAAAGCTAACTATGAAATTCATGATTTTAGACAATTTTGTGACCAGAAGAGGAAGTAGGGGCAACTGAAGAAAAAAGTCCATTACATCTGTGGTCAAAACATATCTGAGGAAGAGATGGGATCACTGAAAAGGGAGGAATTTCATTTCTGAGAAAATGTAATATAGAAACATTTTTACATTTGATGATATTGCCAGTTATCATACTAACTCATAATTTAGAGAGTAGACATTAAGAAATATATAAAGCTATTCAGATGTTTAATTTTCTTTTCATTGTTTATGAAGCTTTAAAATATATCTAGATTTTTATCAATTTCAATCTATTTGTTCCCTATCTTGAAAAACAACTGGTTTATAGCTATATTCACACACCATCAAAAAATATAATTGAGGTCAGTCCAGAAACTAGCATTTAGAAAATATAACAATAATTTCTTGTGTTGTTTTTATTAATTCACTTTTTTTATTTTTTTATAGATGCCAATTAAATGGATGGCTCTGGAATGTATACATTATAGGAAATTCACCCATCAAAGTGATGTTTGGAGCTATGGTAAATAAATCTTTATAATTTTGGTCTTCTAAAGAAAAATATGTTTACATACATGCATACATATTTATATACAAAATATATAAAGTCATATTTTGGCTTTATTGGAAGCACTTACAAATAAGCTTGACTTCCTAAAGGAATTAACACTTTGGTATATACTTTAAAATCCTAAATACTCCAAATCACAACTTTATCTATCTTTTCATGATTTTTTTTTCTGTTCTTCTAAATGTAAGTTTTCTCCTATAAACTCTGGTTTAATACAATTTATCTGATAAATCTACTTATTTTTATACAAACACAAACACTGGGAAATGTTATAAATGATTACTTAGAATCTCATGGCCTTAATTTTCAACAACTCTTTGGTCATATGTAGTGAATAGGAATGACGGGCTGCTTTTCGTCCTGCCTGGCTCCCAGCCGCCAGGCTCGTGGCTAGCTTTACCCGAAACAATTACATGGAAACTGTATTCCTTTAAACACTGCCTAGCCCATTAGCTCTAGCCTCTTACTGACTAACTCTCACATCTTGATTAACACATATCTAATAATCTATATGCCGCCACATGGTCATGGCTTACCGGGAAAGATTCAGCATGTCTGACCTGGCAGCTTCATGGCGGCGGCTCTCCTGACCCTACTTTCTTCCTCCCAGAATTCAGTTCTGTCTTCCCCGCCTACCTATGTTCTGACCTATCAGGCCAGGCAGTTTTCTTTATTAATTAGCCAATGAAAGCAACAGATAGATAGAAGACTCTCCTACATCAGTCATATAACTCTGAAAGTTATCAGTGTTAAAGGGTAAAGCAAAACAAAACCATAGTTTTGTCTGTCTGTCTGTCTTTTGGCTTAAGGGACACATGTTACATGGTAGAAAGCAATAGTGGTTCTATTACTGTGGCAACCATGGGTGGCTAATAGACACAATAACGTGATTGTGAAGGTAGTGAAGAGAGAGTACTGCATATTGTAGATCTGATTTCCACTTACAAACTACTTTTGGAATGACAGTAAGGTTAAATGAATGGTGGGAAAGAGAGAGGTTAATATTTGTGATTAGAACACTTTCTCATTTCTTGAACTCAGTTCAAGAGCTAGTTAGAAATTTGTTGTTATAACTTTGTCCACATACAACTTAGCTAGAAAGGATCAATGCTTTGTCTAAATTTAAGTATACCACATAAAACTAGTATTAATTGGTAATAAAAGTGCAATGCCTCTAAGTCTGTAAGATGGCTCCCAAGGTAAAGGAGCTTATTGACAAGGCTTAAGGCGTGCGTTCCTTCCCCAGAACCCACACAGTGGAAGAAGAACACCAAGTATTTCAAGATGTCCTTGGGTTTCCATCATATCCTGTGGCATGTGCAGAGCCCCACAATTACACACACACACACACACACACACACACACACACGCATGCACACATGCACACACACATGCACATATACACTAAATAAATTTATGTAATAGAAGAAAAAAAGGAAAACAATAAAAGCCCTGGTGTGATAGTGTTAATTTTCAACTTGATAGTGTCTGGAATCATCTGGGAAATTTGCTATAGGCATCATTCTCACTGTAGTATATCACATTGAACACATAAATTGAGACAGGAAGACCTATGAACTGTGGGTAGAATCATTCTCTAGGCAAGAGATCCTATGCTATATAAAGTGGACAAAGTGAACTGAGTTAATATACGTGCATTCATACCTCCTTGTTTCCAGATTGTGCATGCGACCTGACAACTGCTTCAGGCTTCTGCTGTGTTGATATTTTCACACTGTAAATTATTCTCTGAACTGTGGGCCAAAATAACTCCCCTCTCCAAAAGTTTCTTTAGTCAGAGCATTTTATGACAGAAGCAGGAAACAAAACAAGACAGCAGTTGGTACCAAGAAATGGGGCTTTTGCTTGTAATAAAACCTGACCTCATGGGTCTTGGGCCTTTGGAACTGCTTTTGTTTGTTTGTTTGTTTGTTTTCTTTTGTTGTTTATGGGAGGAGTGTGGAAAAGTTTGGAAGTCTGGGCTATAAAGGTCCTTGAATGGCCAAGAAGAGATTGATGGGCCATTCTGGAGGAGTCTGGAAGTCAGCAATGATGAGAAAACCATAGATGATTGAAGTCTGCAGCAAGGCTGTTGTGGAAGGGGCAGCTAATGGAAGAGAAGCCCTTTGTGTGTATTTATTCTGCCTGTTTTCAGAGAAGTTGAGTGAAGTGGAATTGAGAGATGACTGACTGCTGTATTTGGCAGAGGAAATTTTAGGACAGAGGAACCTTCAGGATGCTACTGTGATTGTCACTGGGTACCACCAACGAAGACACATGCATTAGGATAATGAAAGGGGTGTGCTGAGAGCAAAACTTCAATCACCAGAGATTCCAACATGAAAGGATCCAAATTTTCTTCAAGGAAGAAAGCCCAAACTGGAGGTTTTCCCTGTTCCTCGAAAACACCTGCCTAGGGAAGTTTCCCCGGGGTCAGCACATAGAAATGAATGAAGCTGTGGTCCAGTGGGGTCCAAGTTTGGAAGTGTCATCTGTGTGGTGTGGTTTAAAGGCCTGAAAGAGACAAAATTGAGGAGGTCATGGAGAACAGTCAAGGCAGAATTAGGTCCAGGGAGGCCATTGTGTGAAGCCATGAAGGAGAAATCACAACAGCTCTGGAGACTGGCTTATCCAAGTTGCCAGGACCATGGGACATGCATGAGTGTGGGGTGCCAACATGGAAAGGAACCAGCTCAGAAAATAACATGTGTTTGCTGAAGTTAGGAGAACTGAAACTGTGAGAGGCGGTGCTACCCAAGCCTGTGAAACTTAGTTGATTACATTATCAGATCCAGATGCCACACATGGAGGGTCGGGATTCGGTGTTTGCCCTGTTTCTTCCATTCTAGATAGAACAGATTAACTCTGTGTCTGCATGTGCCATTATTATATGTTGGAAGTATACAACTTTTTTTTTCTTTAAAAAAGAGCTCAAAATTTCACAGTTAAGAAACTTCGGACTTTTAAAGTTTTGGAATTGTTAAAGACTATTGGGACTTTATGGTTGAACTGAATGGATTTCATTTTATAAAATCATCAGGAGGATATAGGGACAAAGAGTGAAAAGTTATGGCTTAAAATTGGTGTGTTCAGATTGCACATTGATAAAGAGAGAAGTTGAGATGGTTTGTGTCAACTTAGCAGAACGTAGAATTGCTTGGGAGATGAACCTTTGGGCATGGCTATGGGAATCCTCATGTTTATATTATTTGAAGAACAACAACCGACCCATCCATTCCCTAGACAAGGTCTCTGCACTGTATGAAGTGGAGAGTGCAAGCTGAGCACCACTGCACATCCATGCATCCCCGTCTGTCTCCAGATTGTGGATGTGATGTAGCTTCCCCTGCTTCCAGCTCCTGCTGCCGCGACTTTCCTACCATAAGGGAAGGTACCTTAAACTGTGAGGTGAAGTAAACCCTCTTCCCCTTACATTGCTTGAATTAAATCATATTATCATACCACATTCCAATTCATAGACCCAGACTAAGTAATGAGGGCTCAAGGGGGAACACATAGATCTCTGTGGGAAGGGGAAATAAAGGAGATCCTGGTGGACTGGGAGCTGATGAGCATGGGAACTTGAGGGCTCAGGTTGGGGAATGGGCGGAGGTGGCGAGCACTGAGAGAGATGACAGAAAAGATAGTCTTTACAGTCTGTAGATCAGGTAGACAGCTGATGCAAGAGAAACTCCCTGGAGTCCACAAGGATGGCCCCAGCTAAGACTCCTGACAGCAGCTGATGCAAAGCCTAAACTGGCCATCTCCTGTAATCGAATTGGTAAATCTCCGGTTGTCTTCAGAGACCCTTCTTTCAGTGACTGATGGAGGCAGATTCAGAGATCCCTGGCCAATTGGATTGGCCTGACGTCAACATTGGGCTGAGCTTGGGGACGCCTGCTGAGGAGAGGAGAGGAAGGATTCTAGGAAGAAGGGCCAGGAACATCACAGAAAACCCAAAGAAACAGCTAGCTTGGCTCATGGGATCTCACAGAGTGTGAAGCAACAATCAGGGAACTTGAATGGAACTGACCTTGGTTCCCTCTATCTATCTATCTATCTATCTATCTATCTATCTATCTATCTTTCTTTCTTTCTTTCTTTCTTTCTTTCTTTCTTTCTTTCATTTATCATCTATCTGTCTGTCTATCTATCTATCTATCTATCTATCTATCTATCTAACAGTTGAGTAACTTGATCTATTTGTGAGACTTCTGGCAATGGGAGCAGGGACTGTCCCTCATGCTTTGGCTGGCTCTTGATAACCTATTCTTACTGATGGATTGTCTTGCTCAGCCTGAACACAGGGGAGGTGTTGACCTTAAAGCATCTTGATATACCATGCTTTGCTGATATCCATGGGACCCTTTTTGAACAAAAACAGAGGAGGGGTAGATTGAGGGGGAGGTCAGAGGGTGGAAAGAGAATGAATGAAAAGAGGGTATGCTGCAGTCAGGATGTAAAAAAATATATTTAATATAAATATTTACTATATATATATATAGTATATATAATCACATAACTGAAGGAAAAACTAAATTCAAAGTGATCATAAAATTTAAAAGCACAGTACAATTGATTTTTCATAAATTTGGCTTAGTTTTAGCTTTTTTCATCACTTCGTATAAATAAACATTTAATTCATTTACCAATTTTATATATATATAATGAGAGAGAGAGGCCTAAAACATCTCAACACAAAATTCCCATGTCTATGTCATAAGTGGTGTTAAATTTTCCAAGAAGGTCACACATAATCTAATTTGTGAGTAGAAAATATGTCTTTATGGTTAAGACAAATATTTAAACAAGCTTAGTTATTAAACAGTCAATAAAAAGCAATAATATCATGTTTATCATAGACTCGTGTGGTACAGATTGTCATGCATGTTAGTGTATATACATAATAAATATTGCAGATGTAGATAAGTCTATGGTAGTGAGGATTTATATCACATAAATTTTTCATATTTTCTACTACATATTTATATATACATATGCCTTTTCCCCCTTTTGTACTTGTGTCTCACTAAATTTAAAGGTGACAATCTGCCTCTAGCAAATTGCTCATGACCTCAAATCAAACAAACAAACAAATGTCAAAAAGACATGCTTTATTACTACAATTTGTCTTTTAGAGAAAATCTTGTAAGTCTAGCTATCATAATTTTATTCACAATGAGTTCAAAATTCTGCAGGCTGTCGAATGAACATTAACAAATAGATGCATAGTGCTGTTTGGAGTCACAGCCTCAGTCTCAGAATATTTTCATCAGATATCTCAAGATTATTATGATATGCTATAGCTGATTGCAAGAGGCATAAGTGGCAGAGAATGTACATATCCACGTTTATAATATCTTTCTGATGAAAATTATCACTCGCTGCCTTTTTATATGCACAGAATATGCATCAGTTGTGATATGTCTTAAAGGTGATCAAATTGCAATGTAAGTTTTTATGTTTCTCATATAGTCTGTCTGAAATTTCTCTATATACTAAAGTCAGTCACTTTAACATTCACGGTGCCACCACTCCAGAAAGATTTAACTACATTACTAGAAGCAAGGATTTGAACATATTAGTCTTTGGTTTTGTACTTACTAACATTATATTTCATAATATTTTTATTGTTTTGCCCTGTAATGATTTTTAAATTTTGCTTATTTTGGAAAATCTGATAGAGATTTAAAAATACCTGCGCTGTCCTTTGCAACAGCAAGCATGGGCTCAAAAAAATGTTTCCGTCGTGCATGTGCCCTGTGTGCTAAGAATGTATGTTTGTATGTATGTATATAAATGTGTGTATATAATACCGTGGTCGATTTGCTTAAAAAGAGTGATCACCATTTTGATAGCTATCCATTGAAGTGTAAACAATGGCTTTCTTGAGCAACTAGATATTTACATAAAAAATAAGGATTTAGGAAAAGTTGATCTGCTGAAGTGTGTCACTAGTTGTACATGTATGTGACAATGAAAAATTAGAGAATAAAAATATTAAGAGAATAATCCAATTAGTGTTAATTATTCTATTCTGCAAGGTAGTTTGAAGTATATATATATATATATGTATATGTGTATGTATATATATGTGTGTGTGTACCTATATATATAGAGAGAGATATAGTTTTCAGGCAATGGTGACTGGCATATACCAGCTTAAATAAATAATCATCACAGAGATATTCAGAACATATAACCCCAATTAACAGATTTTAAACTAAAATAAATCTCTGTATGCTCAAGCAAGACTCATATTGTCACACTACCATGCTTACATAGCTGCTTCTCTCTGAACTATATTCTGGCCTATGGATAAGACTCAGTAATAGAGAATCTATCTATTATAGTAAAGAAGTAATCTTTAAAATATAGATGCTTTTGTTCTTTTTTAAATTTATTTTATTTTTCAGTGATTTTTGTTGAGCTCTACATTTTCTATTTTTGTTCTTAGTGTTGCCTGTTATTTTATTTTCTCTGTCAGTGGTTCAAAAATATCATATCATTAGATTAAAGTAAGCTGTCCGTATTTCTTCATTCCTTCATTTCTCATTTCTGTGGATATCCATTCCTATGTATTCTATCTTCCATATGGATTGGTCCTCATGAAGACTCCTGTATGTGCTAACTAAATTTTATTCCACTTATTTTTATTTTGTGTGTTACCAGAGAAGTGAGGCACAGGCTTTGCAGTAACAACAGACACCTGCAACGTTCTGCAGCTGCCAGTTCAGCCTTTGACAGCTTTTCCCACCAAAAGACTCGTTTAAAAAATTTATCCACGTCAGGCTTTTCCTGAAATCATATTTATTTTGTATTGAGCACATACATACAGTAAAGGAATTGTTTCCTGGATTTCAATATATTTGAAACAATTTTCATCAGTAAGCATTAGCATTACCTGTAGGTACAAATCGGGAGCTTGTTTTAATTTCTGGTATCTGTTCTAAAGTTTTCCTGCTATGCATTAACAATTCCAAAACAATAGTAAGAAAATTCTTACTGTGAATCGCCCCTGCAGGGTTTTGCATTGCAATTGTTGATGTGAATGAAACAATGTGAAGTTTTCCTTGAGTTTCTAACGTTTGCTTTTTAAAGAGTAATTTTATATGCATTCATTCAAAATTGTAACAGTAATTTGCTTATTTATGAATTTTCTTTCCAATTAGGTGTCACAATATGGGAACTGATGACGTTTGGAGGAAAACCCTATGATGGAATTCCAACCCGAGAAATCCCAGATTTATTAGAGAAAGGAGAGCGTTTGCCTCAACCACCCATCTGCACAATTGATGTTTACATGGTCATGGTCAAATGTAAGACTGGAAAATAATGTTACCACTTGCATCAGCATTTTTAGTCAAATAACAGTTTAGATTGTTTTACCTGCAAAATGTTTCTTTGCTTTGAAAAACATAGGAGCAAGAATATTTATGAATGCAGAAGATACATACAAGTTTGTTGTGATTGTTATTATGAAATAATAGCATGCTTCCAAGCTACAAAGTAAAAATTATGCATGTCTTACTCTTCTAATTCTTATAATTTCCATGCCCATCAAAGATTTTCATAAAGAGAGATCTTTATTCATAAGAAAGTTAGTAATAATATTAACGTTAATCTTTATGGGAACATATCTAAACATCAGTGATAGTCTAAAACTGAATTAATTGGCTATAGGTTTAATCAAATGTAAATTAGCAGAGCAGGTTGAGAATCAGAAAATACAGATCTGCATTGAAGTAAAGATTACAATGCTTACTTTTTCAATTTCATCATTTGTTTACGTCAAGTGTTCTTCCTTCCCTTTCCACTTTTATACCCCAGACACATATGCATTATAAATGTGTTCTGGAAGCCTAGATCCTTCATTTTAATAGAATTAAATAAGTCTCTGGGGTTTCTGACTTAATTTAAGTGAGATTAGCAGGCAGCCGTTTCTCTCGCATAATCTTTGGTTTTCCAGTTTTGATTTACATAAGGTTAAAGAAAGACACAGAATGGTGAAGGTGAATAAGCATTTTATTAATAAGAGACTCAGAGACTCTGGGCCCAGGTCCTCTCATATTTATATTCATGACATGTGTGATCTGTTCTGACAGGAAGGGAAGAAGTAAAAACTCCCCCTTGCAGTGCAGGTCAGCATGCCCTTTTCTCTAAGCGGAGACCTATTTACTCAATATTTAGTTGGAGAGAAACAAATATCTCACTGTGAAGTTAACCTTTCTTGGCTCCAGTAGCTTTGTCATTAGCATCTTGGCATTAACAAGCGTTCTTGGAAATGAATACCCATAAGATGTAGAGTATTTGAGCTTAGGAGAGACGACACAAAGGATGCATAATATGGTACCCAAAGTTAACTCTTTAGACATAGCACCAAAGAAGAAGAAGAAGAGGAAGAGGAAGAGGAAGAGGAAGAGGAAGAGGAAGAGGAAGAGGAAGAAGAAGAAGAAGAAGAAGAAGAAGAAGAAGAAGAAGAAGAAGA